CAGTGTGCCCAGCAAGACTTTATATTTATAATTATAGTGACAGCATATGTTTATATGAGATTACATTATTCAATTCCAAGACAAGGTTTCTAAACTCAGAAATAAGTTTAGGTATCTTATCTAATGATAAGGACATCTAAGAATAACCTAGAAAGATAATCTAAGTTTGCTAGAATTTTATTGTTTGGATGATTTGTATTATAAAACTGGCACTATTCTTTCCTGGTGGTGTAAGTCATCTTTTATGATACTGTATAGATCACTATCTTCAAATTACCATAGAACTGGTATGTTGGTATGCTGGCCTAGTTGGAAATTCTCTTTCCTGTTTTCTTTCAATCTCTTACTATTTTTGTATTTTAAGTAGTGTTTCAAAATCCAACAGGAGTCCGAGAGACTAGCAAGCTAGCAAGCTCTGGCCATCTGCGTTAGCCATCTCTGAGAAAGGGTTGCTAAATAGCATGAGATTTCATTTCACAAAAATGTCTTCTGGTAAATACATGAGACATTCATCATCCTCCATTTATAGATTATTACGTTTTTATTTAATAAGTGTAGAATCATTTTGAGACCAACCACATCGTTTAGCCATCAGTAATCTTCTGGATGTCTACATTAGAATTAGATTTGACTATGAATGATAGAAACCCAAAATAATATGGGCTGAAACAAGTTAGAAATTTATTTCTCTCTCATGTAAACACAGGCAGTCCTGGGCTGCATGGCAGCTCAGTCATCAGAGGCCCAAGCTCTTTTACTTTGCTGCTCTATCATCCTCAATACAAAGGTTTTAACTCCTACTTGAAGGTGGCTACACCAACTCCAACTTTCACAGCCTCAGTCCAATTAGCAGAAGAGGAAAAGGGAAAAGAGAACTCTGCTGGTATTTAAGGAAACTTTTCAGAAGTTGTAAATACCTTCCCATTCATCTGCACTTGGTCTCATGGACACAACTAGTCAAAGGAAGGGTTAGAAATGAAGACTTTGTCCTAGGAGCCATGAGCTCAAACTAAAAATTGGGGTCTTATTTCTGAGAAGAAGGATACTGGGGGACTACTAACAGTGTGTACTACTTTTTGTCTTCCTGTCATTTAAATGTCTCAGGTAACTAGGTCCAAGACTGAAAAAAGGGTGAAATGGTCCTATTAATGTCAAAATTATGCACTGAAATATTTTTTACCCTTTCTTAATGTGTTAGCTAGTGTGAGACTATTTTCAAATTTTAGAAGCTATGTTGACTTTATGAATTGACTCCAAAATTAAAAATATATATATGTAAATGTTGCAAATAATTTCTCATAAAGGAGCAGTAAAAATATTAAGTGGCATATAACACAAAATGAAAAATGAAGAAGTGGGCAAAGCAGATTTAATAAAACTTCTGCGTGTCAAAGGATACTATCAACAGACTGAAGAGACAACCCATAGAATGGGAGAAAAATATTTACAAATCCTATATCTAGGAAAGGATTAATAACCAGAATATAGAAAGAACTCCTTCAACTCAACAACAACAAAAGTCTATTTAAATATGGGCAAAAGACATTTATATAAAGAAAAAGTACAGGGCACCTGGGTTGCTTAGGTGGTTAAGCCTCTGCCTTTGGCTCAGGTCATGATCTCAGGGTCCTGGGATGGAGCCCTATGCTGGGCTCCCTGCTAAGTGGGGATCCTGCTTCTCCTTCTCCCTCTGCCCCTCTCCCCACTGCACATGCATGTGCTCTCTAATAAATAAAACCTTAAAAAAAAAAAAAAAGAAAAAGTACAAATGACCAGTAAGCACATGAAGATATGCTCAACATCACTCATCATTAAGGAAATGAAAATCAAAAACACTTTATAACCATTAGGATGACTACAATACACAATACATATATAAAACAGTAAACAGAAAATAACAAATTTTGGTGAGGTTGTGGAATGTTGGAGCTCTTGTGCGTTGCTGGTGAGACTATAAAATGAAGCAGTCATCATAGGAAAATGGTATGGTGGCTTCTCAAAAAAGTTAAAAATAGAATTACCACATGATCTAGCAATTCCACATCTGAGTTATATACCTGAAACTCTGGGGATATACCTGAAAGAACTGAAAGCAGGGACTTGAAGAGACATGTGTACACCCATGTTCATAGTGGCATTATTTTCAGTAGCTAAAAGGCAGAAGCAACCCAAGTGATTACCAATGGATGAATAGATAAACAAAATGTGATAAACACATACATTGGAATATTATTCAGTCGTAAAAGAAAGGCAATCCTGACTTGTGTTACAATGGATGAACCTTGAAGATATTGTGCTAAGTGAAAGAAGCCAGTCACAAAAGGAGAGATACTGTTGAATTCCAATTAGACTAAGTTCCTGGAGTCATTAAATTCTTGGAGAGAGCTGGCAGAATGGTACTTGCAAGGGACAGGGGAAGGGGTGTATATGGACTTATTGTTTAATGTTTATGAAGTTTCAGTTTGGGAAGATGAAGAAGTACTAGAGATGCCTGGTGGTGCTGGCCGCCTGATAATGTAAATGGACTTATTGTGACCATGTACTTAAAAGTAGCTAAAATGGCAAGTTTTATATTATAGAGATTTGACCACAATAAAAAAAATGGTTAAAACTTTTGAAAATGTGGGTAGTTTTACATACACACATTTCTATAATCAGACTCAAAACCGATGCCAGAGAGTTTTTACCAAGAATCTTGATCCTATTTTGAAATTCTATTAAAATATTTCAAAAACAGAAGTAGAGAGAATAACATATAAAGAAACTTCTAGTTCCCTTAATACATCTGTAACACCTCAATTTATAATAAGACTGTTTTTGTGAATGGTTAGTCTGCTGCCCCAATTGTTGAGTACATTTGTTAGGTACTACCCATTCTGCCATGATTCGAAAAGCCCACTATGAACTTTTCACCTTTGTAAGCATTTTATACAGAACATGTGTGTCCGAAGAAAAGCTTTAGAAAACTTGCTTCGTCACAAACTCTGCAGAAGCAGCAGCACTGGACAGACCACAGGTGGAGACTTATTCTGTAAAGAGCCAGACAATAAATATTTAAGGCTTTGTGGGTCACATTAGGCTTGTTGAATATCCTTGTTTTTTTCTTTTAAAATATCCCTATAAAAGTTTAAAAACCTTATCGGCTTGTGGGACCATACAAAAAAGAGCTGTTTCCAAATTTGACCCAATGGCTGTAATTCACTGAACCCTAGTAGACCTTTGAGGTCCTTTTTGGGCCAACCCACGGCAGTGTGGTGGGCAACTATATAATCATGGTCAGTCAATCGTTAGCATGGCTGGCAACCTCTGTCTGGGCCCAACTTAAATAAGGTAGTTTCAAGTCTGACTATATCAATGCATGTATATAAAATACCCACTAAAATTTTTTATTTTTTATTGTGGTAAAATCTGTGGTATTCCTGGAAGTGGAATCTAATGGACTTGTCGGCAACTCTGAGAAGGAAGCAGTTAGAAGGGAGCAACCCAGAAGAAACAGAGTGGGTCCTAAGAGTGAGACACCTAGAATAGTTTCAGTTCCCATCCTCATATTTACATACAAGAAATCCCCTTTTCTTGAAGAAATATAAGTTTTATGTTCCTCGTAACCAAAAGAATCCAAAATGCGCTCATTGACTGCAAATGTCAGTTGGCACAAACACTTTAGCCCAGTAATATCTACTAAATCGAGTAATGACCCAGCAATTCCACAGTTAGGTATTTTACCTAGAGAAATGTTGGCGCATTTGTACCAGAGGATACATGTCCAACAATGCTCACAAGAGACAATACGTGCCCACAGTGGATGCCGTTAACCTGGTCAGATCTCAGCTCCACCACTGACACAGGCATGTGAGGACAGACAAGTTGCTTATTTCTCTGTGCCTCATTTTCCTCATCTATAGGAGGGGAGAATTATTAAATTATCATAAGGCTGTAGGGATTCAATAAGTTAATCTATGTAAAATGCTGGGCTTATAGCAAATGCTCTATTTGTCTTAGCTGTTGTTGGAAGTCATCATTATAGCAGCATTGTAGTAATAGGAAAAACTGAAAGCAACACGTCCATCAAGAGAGGATGGAAAAACAAACAGGTATATCCATACTAGGAATATGATACAGCCCAAGAATGAAAAGAACGAACTAGAGCTATAGATATCAATGGGTATAGATCTTAGAAACAATTTTAAGAGAAAAAGGCAGGCACAGAAAAACACAGATAGTATTCCACTGTGTTACTAAATAAGCAAAATTCAACTTACTATGTAGAGACACTCACAAACAATACATAGAGAAGCAAGGGATTGGGAAAGAAACGAAACTTAGGGTAGTGAATAGGGAATGGGACTGGGAAACACCTCCAGTGTTTTACAAAAAAAAAAAAAAAAGAGAGATAACATTTGTTAAAAAAAAAAAAGTTTATAAATTGAGTAGTAGGTTCCTGGGTGTTGGTCCTATTATGTTACAAATGTAGAACAGTAAATACCAGTGAACCAAACCTAACTGTGAATATCAATGATGTGTAAAGATAAAATTTACATGGCTATGGACTGAACTTTTGAAAATCAGGAAATAAGAAGTAGAACAAAGGAAATCGTTAACATGCTGTATAGAGATTCGTTAAGGAACTAAATTGGTTGAACAGAGTTTGCTCTAGAAAGTACTTTCTTGATAAAAATTTATCCATGCTGTTATACTCCTGATTAAATGTTTGTCTTCCTAAATTCAAAGTCAGTGTGACTTAGGGGTGGGAATAGCTAGCTTCAAGCATCCTGTATGCAGTTAATGATATCTTACCAATAAAATAAACCTTGAATTTATATAATGAGATTTACATGCTTAAAGGAAAAACAAGAGTTCTAGGTGGGACATTTGCAGGAAGCAGGGGTCAGGAAAACCTAACTAGCCAGAGCATTAAAAGGTAAAATAGCAAGAGAGTAATTCTTCTCTAGAAATAAGATGGGGAGGGGAAAAGTACCAGGAAACACTGCTATGTTATAAAAAAGAAGAGGGAATTCCAGTGTGGAGTGATCGTTTGGGTAGTAAGCTTGATTTACTTTCCCCAAGATTTAATTACGCTGGTACGTGGAGTTTAGGAGCGGACATATCTTTGGACAGCTTCATTTCCAAAAGCCACTGCATACTTAGCTAGTTTCCCAGGCAAGAGCAGGTACACTGCCTTCTGGATATCTTCAGGGGTGAGGGTACAGCGATTTCTGAAACACATCAGGCTGCAGGCTTCCATAGAAATGCGCTCAAAGATGTCATTGATCAGGGTGTTCATGATGTCCAAGGTGCGAGATGATATGCCCCTCTGGGGAACCACTTCTTTTAGGACCCTGTTAACGTAGAGTGAATAATTTCTATGGCCAAAATCGGTGCTGGAATGTGATCTCTTTTTGGAGACTGGGCTTCGATGTCCTCTGGAGCACTTGTTCTTTTTGGTGTTGGATCTGGCCATGGTAGATGTTGTTCTCCTTGGCAGTGTGGAGAGGAGAAGGGCCTAAAGGTGGAGGGGAGGGGAGCGCTCATATTTATATTGGCATGTGACAATCAGCCTTTTGGGGCTTCTGTTTGATTGGAGGTTACTCTTCCTATGTCACAATCACCTAGCAACAGCACTGATTTGTTGTTAAGGGAAAAAATCTTGTTCTTGGCCAACCTAAAGCTTTCCTAAGAGGATAGAGTGTTGTAGAAGGATTGAGCTTGGCTTCAGGGCAGAAGAAAGTGTTCATTTCTCCTACTTTATTTCTTGGCAGTTTGGAAGCATAACATACAATATTTTCAGAATTGGACAAATCTCATCAAATTGGGGAGTTGGTAGCATTAACACAAAGGGAAAAGTACCCTAAGCCTTTCATGGGGGAAATCTCTCTGTTTATAAAAGTTTTCACAAGGTCATTTTATAAGCAAATGAAAAATAAGCCATTAAACATCGTGAAGTGATTGTTTTATAATAAAAGTAAATATGTATAGCTAATCTGCTTTTAAAAATTCATTTAAAAATGAATCCCACTTAAAATGAATCTGAACCCCTAACTCCTTATGAGCACCTGTGTACAAAAGGAGACTAAAATGAAAACTGCCCAATTTTACTCTCTATTTTATGTGAACTCTGTGCCTTAAGTTTTTGTCAGGATATTAAGACCATTCTTGAAAATTTCGCATCTTTCATTACATGGTTGGCTTTTTACCTGATACTGTAGTTCTCCTGTCATTATTAACCAGGAGGGTAGGGTCACTCTCACTCTTGCATTACATTGATATTCCAGCTGAGAGGAAAAAAAAAAAATCTGCATTACCTTCTTCAGCAAGTTCATCCTTGGTTAAAATAAAAAATAAGCAGAAGCAACTATAAAAATCGCAACTCCCAGGCATTTCAATAGTTCACCATTGCCGCAGCTATTAATGCTACCATGAAAAATCCTTCCCTGTGAGCAGCTTTACAGATAAGCGAGACTGGAATGCTGTGTGTAATTCCTTCCCTTATTCTGTCACTCAAGAAAGCAGAGCTGAACTAAGGTGAGTAGGAAGAACGTCATTAAAGGGAAAACTTCTAACAGGTTCTAATTGCTAAAGACCTCAGGCATCATTTGTGAATGTCCGTTCTTTATTTATTACTAGCAACATACCTCACGCCGTGTGTCATGCTGAGTTGGAGGCTGTTGCTTCCATGCATGCTTGGCGGTGACGGATCCTTAGTCAGCTCTCACTAATTTTGCTTTCAAGATTTCTCTAAATATAATTGCTTAGTTAGCTTAATTACAGCATAGCTCTATTTGTGATCATTTAGGAGAAGCTATCAGGTGGAGAACGTCCACTCCCTATTCTTCACACACCCATGCTGATGAGCTTTTACTAGGATAGCCCTCCTGGTCTCTCTCTGCCCCTCACCTCCTCCTCCCTGGGACAACTGTCCTTGGAATCATTGAGGTAGGGGGAAAGTGAGTAAGCCTATCTCAGCCCCTTCGGGATTCTTGTTGGGATGTGATGGCGGGCAGCTCTTTTCCCTGGGGCTGGATCATTTTCACGAGCTGGCCTTCACTCAGTAGGTTGTTTTGCTTCATGCAGAGGTGCTAAAAAGAAAGCCTGTTGTTGCCCCACATGTAAGAGCAATCCTCCAAAAGTTCTTCAGTAATAAAGCTGACATTTTGATGCTTGTCTTTCTAAACCGTGTGATTCTCAATCGGTTCTATGCCTGTGTGGGGAGAAGGGAGGAGGCAATACATCACAGAAGCTAAAAGAAAAAGGCTTTCAAGACAAAACAGCAAGCTGCATGCTAAAATACTGATGACTAGAAAGTTCAGAAAATCAGCAACACTGATTCTGTAAAATTTCTGGCTACTTGAGGGTTAACCCCAACGCCCTTTTAAAATTTAATGAATGATTCTAAAATATGTATGAGCTCACCACCGATATGCTGGTTTTTCTTTTCCTTCTCTCTTCTTCCTCCTCTAGACAGTCTGGAACAAGGGACAGACACTATTTAGCATAATGACCTTCAGGAGATGCCTGTTGGATTATCAATTTGGACAGTGGAGCAAATCTGATTATTTTGCATCTATCTGTCCTGGGAATGAGCACTGTGAAGCCCTCCAACTGTCCCCTTCTCCTCTGCCCTCCCCCTCAAGGTCATTGCGTTAGAACAAAACCTGACATCCTTAGCAAGAGACACAGGAGAGCCAAAGGAGTGATGACCAATGTACCAGAGTTCTGGGGTCTGTGGTCTCTGAGCTGCTCAAGTGTAGCTGGAATCTAAAATTAATGACCGTTTCCTGAATTTTTCCAGGCTCTTGTTTTGTGCTTGATCACACTGTCTATCTGGGGCATGGCTTGTATGTCTTCCATGAACAAGTACGAATACTACTGGGGTTACAACTGCTTATTCTTTCATTTATGGTTGAGAGTCTAGTAATGACTCAAAGTCATAATCAAGACTCTCAGGGATTAATCCACCATAGCTGTGGCAAGGTGATAGTAACTCAAAGCTGAAAACATGCCCTGACAGGTATGAATGTGCTCTGGAAATAGTTTTACAGCCACTGTATTAGTTTTCTACTGCTGCTATAACAAACCACCACAAATTTAGTGCTTTAAAACAACAATAATCATCTTATAATTCTAGTGGTGGGATCAGTCTGAATGGGTTTCACTGGGCTAAAATCAAGTGTCAGCAGGGCTGTATTCCTTCTGAAATCTCTAGGGGAAAATCTGTTTCCTCACCTGTTCCAGCTTCTGGAGCTTACCTGTTTCTCTTGACTTTTCCTTTAACTTCAAAGCCAGCGATGGATAGTCAAACTATTCTCAGGCTGCATCATTGACACAGACTCCTGCCTCCTCCTTTCACTTACAGGCACCCTTGTGAGTTCACTGGGTCCACCTGGATAATCCAGGATATTCTCCATATCTCAATATCCTTAGTTTCATCTGCACATTCCATTTTGCTAGGTGAGAGACCATATTCACAGGTCGGGGTTTGTGATACACACAGCTTTGAGGGGCATTATTCTGGCACCATAGAGCCACCGTAAACAGAATGACATTGTCAAACAAGTTCTGGGTCACCAACCATCTAGAAGTTAGAGAGAATAATACTTTCCTTAGGAGATGGACCAAAAATATAATTTAAAGATACTTTCTATATACAGGCTAACTTTCTTCTAAGTTCCTTGTTTTCTTTTTCTAAAAGTGGAAAGCTATCTTGTATTTTTGCTTTCTGTGCTTTGCCTTTACTTTATAGGCCCCAAATATTAATTTTATCCTTGGAAGACAGAGTCTGTCTTGACAGTAGAGGAGGAGAGATTTGTATTTCTTCCCCCATCATTCTCAAATCTCCTTCTCAATCTCTTCTCTCCTGCTTGCTTTCTCACAGGATGGAATATTACTCAGATGTAAAAAAAAAAAAAAATGAGATCTTGCCATTTGTAACAACATGGATAGCCTAGAGTACATCATGATAAGTGAAATAATTCAGACAGAGAAAGACAAATATGGGGCTTCACTTATAAGTGGAATCGAAAAACCAAAACCAATAAACAAACAAAAAACAGAAACAGACTCATAAGTACAGAGAACTGGGGGTTACCAGAAGGGAGGCGGGTGGAGGATAGGGAAAACAGATGAAGGGGATTCAGAGGTACAAAGCTCCAGTTCCATCCACGGAGACGAATAATCCAACACAGGGAATATAGTCAATAATATTGTCCTAACGTTGTATGGACACAGATGATGATGACACTTACTGTGGTGAGCATTTTGTAATGTACAGAATTGTCTACTCACTATGTTGTACCTCTGAATAAAATAAAACACTGTATATCAACTATAAAAAAAGGCAGAGCAATTTGGAGGAAGGGGGTAGAGGGATATAGGTGAGTAGAGAGGTGAGTGGGAGAGAAGAGGGTGAGGTGAAGATTGGGTCCTGAGGGTGACCCATGTTCTCTGGTCAGGGGACTCCAGATCCAGAGACAGGAAAAGATGTAGACTTGAGTGTAAACTTGTTTTTGTGCATTTAAACTGAGGCAAACTTTAGCCTAAAGCTTCTTCAGTGCTTGTAAGGAACAGACCAGAGAGAGCAGAGGAAGGTAGAACCATGCTAAAGCCCACTTTGTTGTGGTGTCTTGCCTGTCTTATATTCCCATGTTTGGGGCAAGGGGGACTAAAACAAACTTTCTTTACTGATTTGTTGACAATTTTGTGGCCTAGGTCTTTCTCTTTGATTTGATTCTATGTTTTTTGGCTAGGTTCCTGAGGCTGGCATCCCTAATCTCTCTAGTGCAGAGCCCTTGCCCTCCCACAGTGGGGTCACCTGTGTCCTCCTTTGGCTAATCTGAAATCTGGGTCATTGTTCTCAGGTGACCCAGGAAAGAGTAATTAGATTAGCTTTGTGCAGAGTAAGAACATAAAGGAATTAGCCTTCAAAGGAAGTAGAAGGTTGTCCAATTACTGATGAAGTGCCTGATGAGTCTGATGTTCTTTAGCAAAAAAACAAAACAAAATAAAACAAAACCAAATAAAACAAAAACCAACAGAAAATGTTTTGGGACAACAGAGATAAGAAAAATTTTAATTTCGTTTTGAGTTCTAGTTCACACACTATAGTAAGACATTAGTTAACTAAAAAAGTAATTAAATAGTTCCTGAATCAATAGATTACCATTGAAAATGGATTTTCCTTGAACAGTAATAAGAGTAAGTACTCGCGAAGCACACAGAATAGGAAAAACAGCTGCTCAAGGTCATCTGGCCAGGAAGGTGGGGAGCCAGGAGACTAATGGCAGCCAATTGGACATCCAGGCTGGGGCTCTTAACCACTAGACACATGGCCTCTTAGTAACTGGCCAAGGAGAGAGTCTGTTCCATGCTGGAGAAAAGGAATGAGCAACAACATGGAGGCAAGGAGTCACAGCTCTGTTCAAGAACAGAGAAAATGGTTTTGTTCAGGTAGAGGGGTTATGTCTGAGTCCTGAGAGACAGAAAGCTGGGTTTAGTTTACAAAATGTCTTAAATTGAGTGTAAAGTGTTAAAATGATTCTGTAAGTCTTTG